TATATCATTATCAGTATGAGTGGACTAAAAACGTTGAAGTCATCATGCTGGCGATTAAAAGCTCAATAATTTGCATTAAACGAGCAAGATATCGCCGTTGGAATTACGCTGCTGTCCGCTATAAGTTTTTCCTTATCTCATGTAATCTCGTCGAGCGATGAGCATCACCACCGAACGATCGGTAACGTTATTAAGACTCGAGGGCGTGGGATTTTAGTAGGTTTCTTGGCTCGTTCTGCCAACAAAGGACGACATCGGCGTCGCCGCGATGATATAAAAGAGGAATGGAGTTCGACGAACTATCGGGGGTTGTGCAAAGGATAGCGTAAGTAAGTGAGGGTGCGGCTGTAGACTCGTGCTAAGTCCTAACATCACGTTTACGTCCTTTTTATTGCGAAGTAATGGTATCGGCGACTAGGAGTAGGCACCATCGCCTCGAATGAAATCCCCGATCATGCCGAGAATGGCTGTGCACTTTTATCGCGTCTCCTCCATCTGCGACTATAGCGACTTCGGCCGTGAAATCGCTCCTGTAATCGTGACAATGTAAGCCGTAAACGCGTTGATCATTCACTCCGCGCGTTTCCAAGAACCGCTACGTACATAGCTTATCAACGAACGAAATTATCGATTGCCCTCTGTAAATGGTTCATTTACGCGCTAGATTTTTCGTTTTCCGATTAATTAACACAGTAAAAAATTGTACGTTCATGTGTTAAAATTTTCTTGTGTTTTGATTAGGACTTCAATGTAAAATTACATACAACTTATATGTTATTATTTTGGTAACGTTTTCATGTGTTACATTTATGTTAACTTCATAACTTAACACTTTGTATATGTCTCTTAGAAATAGAATATTATTTTGAGTATTTTTAACATAATCATTTTAAACAATCAACATGTCTCAAAGTCAGTTTAACATTCTAAGAAAAGTTAAAGTAAATCTTCAAATAATCTTGAATTTTGACATACAAAATAATCAAATTTACTAAATGTTTCTATCACAAATAATTTAAGTTTAAATAATTACCATTATGTGTTAATTAACACATAATAACAATGTTGTCTTCAACATTTCTTACGAGTTATTGTAACTATTTTTTCATGTAATTTTTAATTATTTTGTATGTTATTTTTACATTACATTTAAAGTCACAACAAAAATAAATATAAAGTATTGTGTCAATTATTTAACGTTTTTAATGTGTCAATAAATAACATACGATGAATGAGTTATTTTAACTTAAAATTTAGAGTGGACTTTCTGGACGTGTGAAAAATATTAAAATTAACATTTCATTTTTTACTATGCAGGATAAAGGATTTTTCATTGAATTGATCTTCGATTAGCGACGACGAGTGTGCGCCGATTACGGATTGAATTTATTAGTAATTTACAATTGATCTCTCTGGAATATCGAAGTGATTTATCGAAAATGTTTCTCTCTATGGTGTTTCATTATCGCTATTCTCGTTGTTATGTTCGATATTTTTTGAACATTTATACAAAATTTCTCCCCCGTGGAATCTCAATTGTATAATTATATCCTGGCTATTTATATCTTCTATAATTTTGTAATTATTTATATTTTCTTTCTTCATTGAGAAGGCCAGACGAGAACATTTTTTTTGTCATCAACCACACATTAACCTCTATTTAAATCTATTTTTAATTATGTCATGGAATTATGTTTGTAAGCCGAATGCAAGTCTGATACTTCATAAAGTATAATAATTCTATAGATATCACTCGTATATACAAACACGCACATAAACAACGCACTATACGTGACGAAGCTCCCGCGGAACGTTAATAAAACCGGAGCGTTAATTGCTGAATTCCTCATTGATTAATAGCGCCGGAGGAAGGCAGGACCTAAGTGAGCCGACAATTTCAGAGACGAGAGAAATAGCTGGTCTCTCCGGGGAATAGGTCTTTATACCGCGAAAATAATCCCGAGTCATAATCGCGTTGTACTTATTTTATTATTTAATATCCTTCGCGCGGATATTATTATGCGATGAAGTGACGCGCAGGCAATCGAAATATTTCATTCGTGTGCCAGAGGATTTTAATTAATACTCAAACAGCGCTGTTGGATATGTATTTTACGGAAAAATGATTCCACAAGAGAGAGAAAGAAAAGTCCCGTCCGTGTTATGCGTACAAATAGGCTGACAGAGAGCGATCGATGTCGGCCAGCAAGCGATTTCAATTACATTTTGTTGCCTCTTGTAATGAGGCGCAGTTTAATCATCGTTAAATTACGTGAATGAGGGATACACCGCGCACCGTATCCCTGTGTTTGTGTAAATTGCTGTTACCGACATTGTGTGATAAATGTGTACGCCGCTCGCGTTGATACGATGGCACTCTTGCTATTAACGATCTTTATGGTGTCAATCAAATAACTTGGTAACTCGGCCTTACCTCTCTTCGTCATTGATTAATGGCTCGCGGCGAAGGATCTTCAGGAAGTTTTGCGGGCTTTGTATGCGCGGGGAAGGAAATATGGTGTATATAACCCCGTCTCTCTCAGTATAATCCCCTATTTATAAACCGCTCGGTAATTTAAAAATCTTTAGAAAAATAGTGCCGCTCTTTATCAGCCTTGAGTAAATCTCTCTCGGGGGATGGAGAAGAAGGACGTGTCAGAAAGAGTATCCTGCAACTTCCCAACACTGTCGTGCTACTTTTCCGAGAGATGTTCTTAGATATATGATTATTAATTGTAAGGTACATGCAAAAAATACACACACATATATATATATATTTTTTGTGAATATTAATTATATAATTAAAACCTACGACGATGTGATTCTCGAAACGGTTTACGAATTCGGGGTATAACTTTGACATCGTGATTTTATTGTCTTCGATTGTTATCGTATCGTAAAGATCGTTGAGACGTGCACAATCGCAAGGAGAGATATCCCCCATGAGTCATCTTTCTGCTTTCGAAGGGGAGTGAATTTGCTTTCGCAACTTTTGCGTTTACATGCGACTGCACGCGCGACGATTTAAGGGATGGATAGAGGAGGGGAATCGGAAATAAGACACGCATTAAATCGGAGTGACGAATGAATCGCCGTGGAGTGATTCGATCGAGAAGACGGATACGGGGTCATTTTCTGTAACTGGATAACGGCTATGCTTTTCCAGCTGGAACAATCGTAACCCCCGCGACTTCTTGGCGAGCGACTGATACGGCTACGACGAGCACATAACTGTCGTTGAACGGCGTGATTCACGTGAAAGATTGCGCATGGCTCGATACATTCATGGGGTCGCAGGACCATAAATGTTATTGTCGCTCTTAGCCTTATTACATTTGCACGCTTCCAGAAATGTCTCTTCTAAGAACCGCGCACACCACGTTGTCTACGCGTATTTCGTAAAACTGCATGCAGCCATAGAGATGGAGAATTCGCCTCGAGAACTGCGATAAAGAGAGAGATCGTACATCACATCTTATTAGATGCAAATAAGCGTTGAAGTCGCGATGCCGATTATTCTCGCTCGTATTTCTCGTGCATGAGTTACCATTATTACTCGCTCTAATCAAATTCATTTCTTGCGTTGTTTTGATAAGTCTAATAGATATATAAATGATAAAACTAATATAATATAATTATATAAAATATATAATATAATATAAATATATAATATATATAATAAAATATATAATAAAATTTAATACAATTTATAATAAAATTTAATACAATAAATAATATAAATGTAACATTAAATAAATATAATAATAAATAATATATATATATATATATATATATATATATAATAAATATATGAAATAATATAATATAAATATATAATATATATAATAAAATATATAATAAAATTTATAATACAATAAATAATATAAATGTAACATTAAATAAATATAATAATAAATAATATATATATAATAAATATATAAAATAATATATATAAATAACAGAAAATAAATAATAAATATAAATAATAAATATGTGTGATAAAAAATAAATATACAAATATATAAATAAATATATAAAATGACATGTATAAATAACAGATATGTGATAAAAAATCGATCTTATCATAGATAGAGAAAAAAAGAGAGATTTTGCGCCCCGTTAAATTTGAAAATCAACTGCACGACTCGGTTCATCACGTTTGACTTGTGTTACTTGGGCATAGAAAAAGCATTTATGCGCGCTTGTGCCATCCCATTTAGCTTGATCAACAAAGTTCGTTCAGTTGAATAGCGTCGCGCGATTCGTAAGCGCACGCTTGACAAGTATCACAGTCGCAATAGATATATCGTGCTAATGCTCGTTCCGGTTTCATAGCTTTGTCGGAGATAGTTGATCGTATTGCTATCGATACTGCATTGATTCGATGTCATGACGAAACGCCGATATATGGCGCTCAGAAAGTATTCTCCCGTTGCTGTCTTTCTGTTTACCATTGTCACTCGTTTTTCTTTTAAAACATCGATCTTCGCGGCAATGCGCGAATGTGAGTTAAACTTTTACGCCCATTGTAAATTCGATGAGTGTTATTTATTCGCTTGCGATTGCTGAGTATCTCAAAAATATTTTAGGATGGTACACAAGTAAACGTGAAATGTCTACGATCTATCTAGTTCATAGTTTTTAAATACCGACATAGTCTACAAATAACAATTATTATTACATCATATAACATAATTAAATCTAATTAAAAAATTCAAATTTATAATTTCTAAAATTAAATTATAAATAAGCAATACGATAAAAAAATGAAGAATTTAAAAAATTCTAATAATGAAAATCTGAATATATATTCAGATTCAACATGAATTAATCAAAGATAGATATTTAGAGATATACAGTTATAAAAGGCAGAACAAATAGAACTAATTTTGTCTAATAAAAGATGGAGCGTTATTTTTCCGAACAACCGAAAGAGATTTCTAAAAATAACAAAATCAGAATAGAAAATAGATATAATGTATAATTGATAGCTTACTTACCACCGTATGGTGATGATTTTACACCGGTGATAGGTGCGAGATGCGGTTTGTCCTCGGTGATTACGATGTCCGTCGATTTGCGATAAACGTCCGAGATGGAGGCCGTGCAACGTAGATGTAAGCTTCCATTGCGAAACATGTTCTCCTTCACTTCAAATTCCATTATCGATTTTGTAGATTGTGAATCGTTATTGTGAGAATGGCAGTGTCTTATTATGTATTGCGTTTTATTATTGTCCTCCGTGATCTAAAACAATAAACATCATTTGAATTAACGCGACGTATTTTATCGAGATATTTTTTAGCATGTAGAATAATAAATATTAATTCTAATAAATATTAAATTTTTTTTATTTTATTATTTATATATTCTTTTCATATATTTAAATTATTCTTATTACTATAGAATTATTGCATAAAATATTTATTATAAAATTTAATCTAAATTATACATTTTTATTTTATGCATTGTACGAATGAATAAAATTTCTTTCTTTAAACATACAATTTCAGAAAATTCATCAAAGCTCGTATCTGTACATAAATCAACCGGCTTACAAACATTTAATTTTGAATAATTAATAATCGTGTATTTTAGGAAAAGTTTATTTATCATTTATTCAATATAACCAAGTAAGTACATTAAAATATCTTTTGTATTTATTATCATATCTCACAAAGGGAATTACTATTGCTATTTGTGGTGAAGATATTACGCGACTACATTGCTCTTAATGCAGATAAAGCTTATCTTTTGTTGTCTCTTGTAACTGCATCTTTTGTTTCTATACAAGAATAAAATAAAAAAGAATGAACAGAAAGGGACTGGTGGAGTCAGAAGTCGCTCGGTGTTATTACTTCGAGAACAAACGTGAGGATGCGAATTGTATTTTAGCAACGTAATTTTATATAATATATGTAATATAAAATTTCATGGATTATAAAATTATAACTTTGATATACGAGAATCATATCTTTTGACTTCTTATTTACTTTTATAGATGTTGCTTGCAAGAAGCAACTTCGTCGATCCTTTTCAATATTTTTTGAAAATGTATTCATTTATTTCAGAAACATCTCATTGTTAAAGAAAGAGAGAGAAAGCTGTATAAATTTTACATCAAAAATAAGCATTACACGTTTCAGTTGTCCAGATATCCGGATAATCCGAATATTCGAAAAATCCGGATTTAGCAGCTGAAATCCGGATATATATACATCCAAAGAGTCCAATAAAAATGTCAAGGCGGATTTGGAATCCAGATAATACGAAATTTGAGAATATCAGAAGATATCTTAATATATCAATCTCCGGCATTGTACGTGTAAAGCGGAAAAAGTTTATTCTTCATCTCTTTTCGTAAATATCTATTCAAGAGTATTGTAACATAAATTTCTCTTTTAAAATCATAATAAGATTAATAAGCAAACTATAATTTCATCTTTTATAAAAACGATTGTGAGACAATATAAAATTTCGAATTGAGCGACTCGATGTGGTAAAAAAATATATATTATTATCGCCATATTTTCATACTACACGGTACACGTCAACGTCAACTGCATCGTGACAGAAATATAAATGCATGATATCCGTAATAAATGAGGAGGGGCGACCTTATTTTATGTACAAGCAGGATTACTTTCAAGAAGAATATATGACCAAGAGAAGAAACGAATTTGTCTTCGATCGTCCGCTACGTTACGAGAACAAGAAAACTCCCTGAGAGCTCCGAAGGCGACGTTATCATTTGTAGAACAAACAAGGACATACATCATGTCCGCGGGCGTACGGTGTCACGTGCGGATACAGGCTACATCCATAAAGCATAAAGCATAAAGCTGATGCCATCACAGATGCCATCTTCTCTCGCACCTCCTTTTTCCCTCTTCTATGTGTCACATGAAGAGTGCCGGTCGTCTCTTGCGCGTGTATAATGTTCGACTCTAAAGTGCATTACGTACAATCTTCATAACTTGGAAAGCGAGTTTTGATAATATTACTCGGCTAGATGCTCTCGAAATAAGGGATTGATTGACACGTTGATGGTGCTATAGAGTTTCCGCGTGGTTTGCTTTCGCCTCATTGTCTTTGCGAATGTAATGTTCTCTGCTTCGCTGTGCATACATTTTCCACATAGCGCATACATCCCTACAATGTATTGCGGATCTTGCATTTCGCAATGCAGCTACTCGTGATATTTGTCTCTATATTTGGAAGCACATATAGCGAATTAGCGTAAAATATCGCATGCAATAACTAGATTTACGCGATTGTGACTTCGATGTGTAACTTTGAGAGAGTAATGTGTAATATTCGTATGCCTTCTATACGTATAAATTGTTGTTACGACTATGAAATATATGTATAATAAAAATTAGAACGCAGAAATAATTGATTAATTCTTCTCTTCTCTTTTCAGAAATATTTTATTAACTCTTTTAATAAAAAATTTTCAAGACTCGAAATTTATCCTATCGTGCAAAGTACCGTGAGAATTATAAATTACTTTGCCAACTTTACACTCGTATGACTCGTATAACTTCGAGAATAACGTGTAATATTCATACTTATTATTATTTCATACCATTATTATTTCAACGTAAATTATTATATAATAATTATGAAATATATGAAAGTGTAAAATTAGAAAGATAATTTATTAACACTTTTAAATGAAGAATTTTCAAGTTTCGGAACTTTATTTTGCCGTGCAATATATTGTAAATTACCTCATCAACTGCATTTCCCATCAGCAGTGTATATTACATTTTTTTATTGTATAATTTATATAGTTTGTAACAGTTCGTAACAGTTCTACGAATATTTCCAGCCATGCGAGAGAACTTTCGAAATGGAAATCAGGTGCATAAAAAACACAATAAAAGTCCGAAAATTACGTTCGGTTTCGAATTTACGAGAATGCACGCGCTGTGTGACTAGGGATTATTTGCCCGAAATATTGGTGGATGTTTCATATGCCGGAGCAAAGCTTTCCGGTAGAGCGCGGGAAGCAAGGCGGAAATATTGGCGGCGAGAAAATATGAGCGAAAACTTGATTTGAGATAGGTGGAGTTTTCTTGGCAGCGGATCAAGCGCATACTTATATACCTACCTATCTACCTACCTACGCGGACAAATGTATGTGTTCAAGTTATATATGTACTCATGCGGAGAAAAGCAAAAGACGATAGAAGAAGGGGGGCTATATAAGGGAGAGAAGGGGATAAGCAAATGGTCAATCGATGAAAACGATTTTCTAACTCAGTGACTATTTTCTGCATTACACGGAATTGCTACTTGATAAGACTACGTTTTCTAAATGGACACGTTTAGAACGAAATTGTTAGAAAACGAGAAATTCCCGCTTCTTATCTTCTCTAATTTCTCTAATTTCTTTTCTCTTATCGAACGCAAGAATCATTTAATTTCCTTCATCTGACAGTTCACATGGTCATTTTCGAATTAGCACACTACACTTGACGATATTTTCAACATTGACTTTTAATTTTAATTCTAATTTTTAATTATTCTCTGATGATATTCAAATCTGCAATAATATTTTACTTTGATGAAATGTCTAGTCGTTATCAATTATTAAATAAAATTAAATTATCTAAATGATTTAAAATGTAATTTATAATATAAATGAGTTAAATAATGTACACTTTTACATTTTTAGAAAGCAAGCTATGCATATGTAAAATATGTGTGAAATAAATTCTTTCTGTACAATATTGATTCTATTTATTATATAAAAACATATTTTTTCTCAGTAAAAAGAAAAAGAGAGAAAAGAAAATATAAAAATATTATGAATAAAATTACGAATAAAATTAATATGACAAATTAAGCGTTTAATAATTAATTGTTGATTTTATTTTTATAAGCAAACACGTTGATGTATAAATTCACTTCCTTAACGTGAGTTATATGTATACGAACAAAAGACATCAAAAAGCTTTTAAAGATTGCTAAGTAGGAGTCGTTGAATCGCGGATGAGTCAACGAAAAGTATGCCCGTAATAGGGGGAACGTGTTCCGTTAGAACAGCTACGGAAGAAGTTGTCAACAATAGCAATACTTGGAACTAAGAAAAGTAGGCGATGACACACGCTATGAGCAATGGAAGAATGTGAATCGAAAATAAAGAGGGGCGAAACGGCGACCCCTGTGCACTTTCGGCAGGGATGCTTTCACTAGGGTGAGACTATTGTTCCTCTCGCCGCCGGAAATGCGAATTTTCACTTATGTTTGTCGAAACATTATCCTGTTGCTTGCCTCGTGTATATTATTTCAAAGGTCAAACGGTGATATTTCATCGAGTTTTTTCAAGCGTCTATCTAGAAATTGCACGCGCTCATTCGTTATTTCGGGCTAAGCTGAGAATTTCGTTAAAAAATCCAATTTATACACCCATAAAGTTTTATCACCCTCGGTAAAGTTATAATATTCCCAAATTTTCATTACAGTTTTTATTATAAATCAACACGGATTAATATAATCTTTGTGTTCTACTTCACTATGTGTTAAAATCACGTTAAAAAATTCTCGATATCGTTTTTAATTGTGACTATAATAAAAAAGCAGATTGAAAAACAAATAAAAAACGACAGTATTCATGCAATGTAGAAAATAATATTGTTTAATAATTATTATTTTTGTAATGGAAATATGCTTTAAACCATTTTCATATATATATGCTAATAAACTTTTATATATCATGTTTCATAAAAAACAAGCTGTATATATTATATATATTATAATACGTAACATAATTTATTATAAAACTAAAGTTGTGTATATATTCAAATATTAAATACATAAATCATTATATATATGTAAAAAAGTATATGGAAAAAAATATTTTCCATTAAATACATACACACAGACTATGAAAATATTATGACGTTAAATAAATTGCCTTCAGACAAAATTCAAAGGCATTTTATTTTTCCTCTCTGTATCATTTAATTATTAATAAATCATTAATCTCCTACGCAATGTGCACACATATTTCAGATTATTGCGAAAATTTCAAGCTTAACATTATTGAGTATTTTTAAGAGAGTGAAACATCATTAAAATCTCAATGTACGATGATAGAAATTGAATTTAACAAGATTCGCTCGCGATCGAATACGGTTGCCTGATATGCAAATAAATCGTTATTTCGCGGCTTTCGTTAAATCAACTAAATTATTCTGTTAAATCGCTCCAACGTCGTTTCGCCGCGCTGACGTTTTCCCAGTTTTCCACCGGCCGAAAGTGAGTTACGCCGTTTCAATCGTCAGAATGAAAAGTGTCAAAGGACGGCATAAATCTGCTCGTTCAAAAACAAAGCGCCGCCCTCTGAAAACGAATATTCCGTGGAAAATATCGCGCGTCCTGGTTATTTAAACCAATGGTACTCTCTATGGATATTTCCGCATGTCAAGATGACGATATCGGCGATGTCGTTTTTATTTTTTTCTCTTTCTTCCCCCGTATCTCACTCGACGTGAGCTTGCAGCTGAGCAAGTTAGCGCGCAAATATTGCTTCCGTAAATTGCGCTGGACGAACTCCTCGATAATTACGCCGATGCGATTAAAGCTGAATTAAGTCATAAAGCGGCTGGTCTTGCGCGCGAGACCTGAAATACTGCGAGTAAAAGCACGTAATTTATTAACGCAGTTAATGCCGATTCGCAGGAAATTCAACGGGACGCAATCCAGCGAAACAACGTATACTCCAGATATTTAATCCAGGCATCAGGGATAAAACTTCTGCCAATCGATACACAGGACACTCGACGATATGGAGAGCAAAACTGTACACTTAATACTTACTCTACCTGTTTTTTTCTTTCTCTCTTTCTCTCTTTCTTTTTTATTTGTTTCTTATATCTTTCTCTTAGTACTCTTTAGAGCAATCATCTTATATTGCACTCAATAGGAAAGCTCTACAAATTACTAGCATACGCGAAGATTTCCTGCTTGAAAGTTGTTTGAGATTTAGGATCCGATACGTCTTTATTGTTAGTCCATCGTTTAACATGTGTATATCTCTGATTTGCATCACTTGAGGTTATGTTTATAATATCGACAAATTATTAATACATAATAATGAAAGAGATGCATGTGCTACTTGTTGTCAACTTTATGCATTTTATTTTAATTAGTATTTTCATGCAGTTTTTATACTTACTCGTATATAAAAAGAGCGTTATTCGCAACTAAAACAAACTGTTCAGATTCATGAATATTTGTGAGTGAATATTTCACATCGAATGGATTTCCAAGCGTTTTCACATGCAATGGCAAACTATATGAATAATGAATAGCGATAAAGTGAGCTTGAACTCGTATCTATAGTCCGACAATTTGACCAATAATAAGTGTGTACAAATTTTGATATCAAACGGATCCATTTGAAAGTATAATATTTTGTACGAGAAATTGTACATAAAACTTTTCGTATAAGAATATAAAAAGTGAAAAATATATGGGCGATATGTATTGTGATGAAAAAAAAATTTATTAAAATTTATTAAAAAATTTTAAAATTGATTGAACACAAGTTCACATGAAATATATAAAAGGTACATAATATACACATATGTAATGTATACGCGTTTCCAGAACATTAAAGCAATAATTTGCTTGCGCAGTTGTTATAAAGCGAAATCAAATGTATTGAAACGAGGAATGCCAATTTTTGTAAATTAATTTTTATAAATTAATTTTGCGTACTTTTTGTAACATATTATCGTATTGGAAATAATATCTCTATTGAAAATAACTTATGAACAATTACGTATAATGGTAATTAATAATTTTAATGCACAGTCACATTGTAAAGTATACTTTTACTATGTTTTCTGTAACAAAATATTAATTATGTTACAAGTTATTATAAAATTAAAAATAGAACTGATTAAAGTCATTATAATTACGTTTTGTGCTTATCCAGAAATTATTGATAAAACTAATGTTAATATTTATATATCATCTTAATTAGTATCATGCGGAATGCGATGCAGATTAATAATCTAAAAATAAAATTCCGTCTATGAACTTAGTTTATTAACAATCATGCGTTGATCATCCGAACGTGCATAGAATGTTTCAAAGTAACGGCAACTATAGACACATCCTTTATTAAATTTTAATATTAAATTATGTCAGTAACTGTAAACTTAAGATATCTCAAACAAAGTTTACGAAAATACAAATTTTTGTCAACTATAAACGTGTAGTTAAAAATTCGTATTCGCGTAAAAAATACTTATAAAATGTAAGATTTTGTTTCTTTATTCTTTTGAATCTCTAATTTTTTCACTTCTTGCTTGTTGTCCTAATTTCTCTCTCTCTCTCTCTTTCTCTCTCTCTCTCTCTCACTTTCTCTCTCTTTCTCTCCCTCTTTTCAATAAGATAATTATTTTATATGGAGTTAATTCTCCAATGTGACAGTTACATTACATATTTTGCAACTTTTTCCGATTGGTTATCTTTACTAAAAATTCTATTTTTGACAACTTTTCTCATTAACTTCATTACTTGTTCTTACGAAATAATTTGCATACAAAATCGTATTACGTGCTACAAATTACGATGCGGCGTCGCGCGCGTCTCGATTCTTTCGCGTAAATCCCGACGCTGGTACCTCGATATTGCTGCGGTATACCAAGGAGAGAAGCCTCGGGTGAACAGAACGGCGTAATAGAACGAGGGGATGAAGGGTCGAAACACAACAGAATAGAATAGGCGCGGAGGTTCGGAGTCTTCTCCGCGTGCAACTCTAATCATCTAGTAAGGTCACGTAACTGCGACTACGAAGACGTACATATATATATATATATATATATATATATATATATATATATATATATATATATAAGGTAAGGACGAGGCGGGCTTGTGAGAGACGATACTTACAGGGTCCCCGTTGAGCTTCCATGTAATAGTGGGGGCTGGTCGGGAGTCGCCTGAGGAGCAGTTGACTCGCAGCGTCTCGCGCACCGCTATGCGGTCCTTCTCGGTACGAATCGTAGGATCCGTTTTTGGGGCGTCTAAGGCATAATAATTATGTCGTTTAGCACATGCGACTTGCTGCACGACGGCACTAACTCGACATCTGGCGAAACGCCAACGCCGAGGGCGTCACGGAGCGCACTAGCGGAAACACTTGAGCTACGACCCCGTCATGTTCGCTATTAGTGACGAGGGCTAGTGCGTCCAAACGATGGATCCCTCGACGCTGTCGTTGCTACGCATCTCGTTCAACAATTTATAATCTGCGTCGCGTAGTGATTTTTTTGATCTTGACTTTATTACCGAATTTTCATTCGTGAGCGTATGAAAGTTATTTATGCAAAATGTGTCATGCGATTTATTTGTTTAAAAAAATCGGAACATTAGGGACGTGGAAATTTTAATTGATTATGACGTTGTTTATTTCAACAATTATTTCAGCAATTATGCTTGTGTTTGTTCTCGCTTTATTTCGCATTGCATTTTAAATTGTTCTTGCTGATGTGTAATTTGTTATCATTATTATTTATGATTTAAAATGAAACATTGTAATTTAAGTAATGGAAAATTGCGTTTTATATTTTGATCTGCTTATTAATAATTATTTAGAAATACATCAAGTAAAATTATCAGTATAAACAAATATTACATAAAGAGTTAAATATTTAGTAAGATAATATTTCGGAGTGACATAAATCAGCTGATATACGCGGTACGCTACTATGTACGCAAAGCCCTATGTACTGTCATTCGCGAGACTCGAGTTACTTCGTGTGCTATCCTTCGAAACACGATCATTCTCTATAAATATTTAGCCATTTTCAGTCCGGTCAATTAACTTCACGATTACAGATTTGTAAACGTATCAAGATTGTAGTTATTTATCGAAATAAATGTTTCGCACAATTAATTCGTTCGGAAAAAGTGAAATAATAGCAAATAAAAATTATCACTTATCATTCTGTTAGATATTTATAAGTAATAATTATTTTTTAACAATTTGTAGATGCACTCCTATACATTTCACATCACAATCAACAATCGATTGAGTGATCAATGATAATTTTTTGCGTAAGAAGAAACATTCAAAGATTGAATTATTGAAGCTGTGAAAGATAATTAATAGTAATCAAAAGTAAAAAATATACATGAAGGATAATACGTATGTTTTCGTATATTTATGTGCAATGGCATAATTTACGTAAAGTAAATGAAAATGCGCAAAATAAACAGAAAACGTATAAACTATATTTGTTTTGCTTTTTTAATTTGTTTTATCGCATGCACAATTTTAATCGACAGTTTTATTTCAGTCTATTCTCTTAGATTATATAACAAAAGTGAAAAAGAGTGTAGTTATTATTTTAATAATTATATAATGTTTTAGATGTTTTGTGTTCTTGTACGAAATCAAAATTTAATTGCATATCAGAGAAGATTAAAAAAAGAGAAAATAGACGGATACAATTTGTTTATCGAAAATGGAAACAAAATATCTTATTGCAGCTTTATAGGCTACATCGATCTCGCTTAAATCCGGTATTAGAGCTGGTCGTTGATCCTCATACGTACTTGCAAAATGCATTGTCGCTTTGAAATCGAACACCGAGATAAATGGAAATAGAACGTATTGCGGACAATCCCAGACCGGCAAATTTATCTTTCCCGAGGGGGAATGGAAATAAAAAGTTTTTAATTCCCAACGATTGACATACTTACCGATTACTTCCATTTTGGCCCTTGCTATCAAAGTGTGGTAGGAAGGACTGCCAGCGGACACCTCGCACTTGTACGTCCCGGTAAGTTGCCTGGACACGTTCATCAATGTCACATCGTGCGTGTTCGATTTGGAATCCTGTAAAACGTGAAACCTGATGTACTGTGTTCCACCTCTACGCCCTCTCCGCCGCCTGTTCCACCCGCTCTATTTCCTATAATCCTTCACTCTGCGATCTATCCCTCTTCCACCACGTTTTTTTTTTTTTTTTTACGACGGTACGAAAAGTTTCGCCATTTCTCATGCACGATAGATTCGCATCGCATATAGTTATAGGGTCGCTTTCATAATCGCGATCGCCTAACTAGAGAGTACTTTGACGTCGATAATTCACCGGCGTGAAATCATTTTCGCGCGATTTAGTGAGAATTTATATGAAAAGGTCTACAACAATTCTAACATTTTTCAATGTTGCTTCAATTAAACTTTATGCTCGGCAATCTCGAGTTGAGAGAAAGTTTGTCGGAAGTAATGAATAAGATAAGAATATTCATTACGGATGATTCACCACTTCTAGATAGTCAACGTTCTTTTATTCCGTTCTATAACAAGGATGTTGTAATCACAATAATAAAAGATGACAGAAAAGCAAATCAGACATCAGAATCAGTCGTATTTGTACTTAGTCACTCTGTCTCATTGATTCTGGTGTAGGATAAGAGAGAGAACACGATAATAAGTATCGATCGCGCATTCCGGTGACTTTGCTAAAAGTATGAATCCTCAGTAAAACTGTCACTAAAGTAATGCCGTTCGCGAAGATTCCTTTCAAAACGACATTCTACAGAGTGCTTTTACAGGCGCTTGAAGAGAGAGAAACCCTCTTACGATGCTAGATATAGATTACTGCTCGGATAAGAATTTTTTACTGATTCATCTTTGCTGAGAGCATCACATTTTATCTCAGATAACGAAAGATAAAAGACAAAAGTTTCTTGTCTCGCAATATCGATTACAGTGATATCGATTCAAAACACACGTGTGACTTTTGCTAAAATAAGTTAGCAACGTGCTTCGACTTTATATGCTACTTTCGAATCTGCCGGAGAAATGTGCATATCAATCTTCGAAAACTTCAAATGACGTAATCATTTTTTTTTTCGATATGAAAATACATAAAAATGCGCTCAACGAGTTTTAAGCGGAAGCAAAGTTGAAGTAGGGCGTAACTTTGCTATCCCATAAAAGATTAATAATTTAAATTTAAAAGAAGCATAATAGAAATATATATGTATGTTAATGAATAAATTTCATTTTATATTAATATTAATATATTGATTGAAATTTATAATTTATTACTATTTATATGTTATTACATTTTATGCAATCTTGGATTAGTCGCAATAAGTAAATTTATTCATATATTTATATTTTCGAAATATTAAATGCATATTAAATTAATCTGCCTCTCCCATTCAATGTCTCTCCGTGTCGAATTCTCCTGATATTAAGCACTGGTCTAATATCGCTCTGCATTTTATATCCCTGATCGATTCTACATCCGAATCTTTTAAATCTGAATCGTACGATTCGCCTACGTCCGCTCTCGTTTCTTTTTTGCGCCACCTTTCTTTTGCTCTTCGCAGGCATTTATATTCATCGCGGCAAGCGTCTCCGCCTCCTTTACAAACTATATCGGATGAGGGGACAAGTCTTTTTCACCGTTTCTTCCGCTTCTGGCATCGGCGTGGACGAGACGGTCGATGAAAAATATCATTGAAAGGGATTGCAGCCGCGACTATTCGGATCTGCCGAAGCGGAAACTGAGAGAGCCACGCGTTACCTCCTTTATGAAAAGTGTGAACATGCACCCTATTTTTCCGAGCGCGTTCTATACTTCCGATTAGACGAGGCTGCATGAACAAATACATACGTAGATTCGGATCATCACATTTAAATATAAATAACAATATAGAAATTGCGCTGATACTCATTGCAGGACTTTACTTCCGGATGCAACAAGGAAGATAGAGTCGCTTCAATTTATTAAAGCAAACATTGCAACATCAAAAAATTTTTGATGTTGCAATGTTTGCTTTAATAAATTGAATTTTCTTGCATATATCATTAATATATATAATTTATATATATTTATAGAATTTATTTAATTCAATCAGCCAGTAAAAATCTCTAATGCAATAAAATCGAAATGTTTTCTCTAAACATTTATTTTTAAATAAAATATATATACTTATAAGCATATATTTATATATTTAAACTATGTAAATTTGATAAAATATGTTTTTCCTTTCAAAAGCAACATTCCAAGTTTTACTCTTTGTATTCGTTAAATTCTACAAACGAGATATTTGCTCTCGATTCATCGATTACATCGCAGTAACAATAGCTCAGTACCGTTACATGATATTACGGACCATGACTCACATGGAACAAATATCGTCTATTCTTATATCGACTGAAAGTACTCGGGTTGTGGAGATATACGAGCCAATCGAGATAGACGATGGAAAACTTAATCGAATAGTGAAAAATTATTACCCTAAATCTTCAGGTGCACACCAACGCGGCGATCACGTTTCACATACTACGAAATGTTTCACGTACAAACGGATCTCTCCCTCGAGTTTAGCTCGGCGATAACGCGGTAATGATCAGCGAGAAGGATATTGTTAAATGGCGTTAAAGGGAGAATATTATCGCGCTGTTACATAACGGCATCAGCCGTTCAGAGACTCGATGCGGATTTTATTGTCGCGATTTTAATTTCGGATGATCGAACGAAAACGCCTGCTAATCCACCTGTCAAATGTCGAATCAGCTGACTGTCAGCCGACGCGCGCGCACGAGCGTTGTAAATTCTTCTTGTTATAAAGATTACACACAGCCGCGCATAGCTACCTACCGACTTCAGATGCTTTATACGTTCATGAAAATTCCCAGCTTCCTATCTATCCCAGCTCGAGTCGGGCTTAAATCTTGTGCGCGTCTTGCTATATACTCTAGCGAGGCGAAACCGTTCGTCTCGCCATAACGTCGTATAATTCACGGAGCAGTCACTTCCGAATTAATATTCGTTCATTAAATTGTTTCGGGGAAGCTATGTATCACGGAATATTACTGATATAAGATACTACACTTTACGCTTTTATAATCCTATATTTTCTCTCTATATTCGAATTTCTTCGAAATATACAAGTATTGAAGAAAAAGAAATCTTATTCCAATATCGATTTTATAATTACATTAAAGGATGCAAAGCGAGAATCCTGTAAAACTCCGAATTCACGCGGACTTTTCAGGCCTATATTTTCTCTCTATATTCGAATTTCTTCGAAATATACAAGTATTGAAGAAAAAGAAATCTTATTCCAATGTCGATTTTAAAATCACATTAAAGGGCGCAAAGCGAAAATCCTGTAGAACTCCGAATTCACGCGGACTTTTCAGGCAGTTGGAAAAAATTGAATCCTTATTGTCGCGATTCAAGGGAAGAAATTGAGAAGACCGTCTTGCGTTGGATGAAGCGCACCCTCCCCCTTCCCTCCCTCTGTAACGTCGCGACGATGTCACTTCGCTATTGCCTCTTCCGATAGTTTCCGCTTTCCATATCGTTCTCTCCTCTCGTCTCATCTCTGTGTCCGTCCCATGTCGAGAAATATCTTAAACTGCAGAGTCTCCTGTGACACCTTTCAAGTGTCACTTCGCCTCTTCTCATCGCTGTTTTCACTTTCTGATTACTTCTCCCTCCATCCTCAACGTGTTTCCATTTTTCGCGCTCTTATTTGTCGAGTTCCTTGCTCCCTGATGATGTTTTATCCAATTGAGTTTTCTTCCACTGATGCCTCTTTTTCTCACCTGCTTCATTCTTTCAGTCGTCATCCTTTCCTAAGTTATGCTTTCGCGCGTTTTCTTCTCTCTCTCTCTCTCTCTCTCTCTCTCTCTCTCTCTCTCTCTCTCTCTCTCTCTCTCTAAAGTTCTGTTCAATAAAGTTTACGCTTTCGCGCGTTTCACGACCGCCTCTTTGCGGTAATTATCAGTAAAGTACGTCGCAGATCCCACGAGAGTATTTTCCTGCCGGACTTTGGCGTGCTTCCTTTGAGTCGTCGGACAAAGGGCAACGAGATACGAAGCAAAAAGGAAGTCGGCGTTGGACGCTATTAAATGTACACGCTCTACTGAAGTTATATACGTCTTTCTTACGGAGTTTCGTCCAAGATATTTATCTTAAATTATATCTCATACTGTGAGATTCGTGAGAAGAGATTAGGCAGATGCATAAGCGAATAATTAGTTATAAAAATTGTTCTTATATATATTGAATGTTCAATATCTTTTAAAATAAAGACGTTCAGTTTTTGCCATATAAATTAATATTCATTAAATATTAATTATTCTAAATTTTTAATTTTTACATTTTTACATTTTTAATTTTATGTAAAAAGCATTATTTAAAATTAATAAATGTTGATAACAACAAAATTATCGATGAAATAACTGTTAGTTTCGATAAGTCTTTGAATTGTAAATTCATCAGAGTTATTTTTAATATTAAGATTTTTTATACAGATTGTTTCGCCGATTGTTTTTATTTAAGCAATGATTAAATCAACGAATTGAATACGTTCAATTGCAAAATATATTATTGCAGATATCGCAAGAAATTCTTGGCATTTCACATATATATTAAATAAATAAACACATTTAAAATTAATCTCCAACATTTTTCTTCGACGTTCGCGCGAAGAGCATTATACAAACCTACAGGATATTGCTTTCACGCCGAGTGCTCCCTGGCGAAAAGGGGGATTCCATTTTCTCGAGTATCAGGAAATTTAAGAAGAGTCGCACCTTTGCTCTCGATGGACGCGAGAAAAAAGAGGGCGAGAAGGGGAGGAAACGGAGTCGCGATTGCGGCGGCATTGAATCGACGTCGGTAAAACACGGAACTCGCTTGACCTAAGTTCAAGCCGTGTCGCGGTCGTAGTACACGCCATAAATCAGCCTATCGATTCCTTACTTCACCCCCGCATCCGCGGGGGCGAAACTTTTGCCCTTGTCGTGGCCAGCGGAAAAATGGAGGCGTCCCGATGCATGGGGGATTAGAAAGGATGCGGAGAAGGATGAAAGCCGACGTCCAGGGAGCGACAAGAAGCTTCGCCGGACGAAAAGAGCGCGGCGTCCAGATCTTCTCTCTTATCGAATCTACTTGCGCAGGCTGTGTTTTCCGCGGAAAAATAGATTACGGTTGGATCAAGCGCGCGCGAGTCGTAAAAAGATAGCCCGTCGTTTATTCGCGAGAGCAAAAATCGCGAGTCGAGGTTTTAGTTCTTATCTCGACGACTCTTCGAAAGAGAGAGCTCGTTTGATAAATGGATCCAACGGCATCGATACGCGCGTATCTCTCTCGGGAAATACAATTTATAATACATATCGTATAGCAAGAACGCGAATCTAAAACAATGTTGTGATTTATAAACAAAGCTTTAAAAAGTTATCCAATCAAATTTAAAGTTTCTTTATATATTATCCAAATCGTGTAGATTGTTTTACTGAAATTGAAATACCAATAATTCAACATGGAAAAATGATTGAAACGATATTGAATGGATATGAATTGAAATTTATTTATTATAATATATAATAACGTTATTACTAATTTTATTATAATTTTAGATAGGTGAACACGATCCGTAAGGAGCCAATTATAATATTATAATAACCAAGGCTAATAATATGTCTTTATAAAAATACTATTAAAGATAAGATTTTTAGGGATTAAAAAATGACATGTAATCAAGATAAATGCATTTGCAATTTCTCAATTATTTTAAATAACTACTAATGTATACAAGATGAAGAAAATCTCTTCTTGTTTTTATTATTTTGATTATTAATTATTTAACAGTAAAATATTTTTTTTTAATTTGTGTATTAATTTTTCCTAAAGTAAACAATATATATGTAATATAATACTATGTAACATATAAAGAAGATTTTGTAAATATTTTATATTACAAATAAATTTATATATTAAAAAATAAATATCTAAACGTACATAAGAGCTTTCATATGTTAAAAAATTAATAAATTTCTTAATTTTTTAGAAAAATTATAGATTATTATAGATATTTATTTCTTAATTTTAACTTCTATTTATTGAGATGGATTACTCACGTTAACTTGTATGTCGACTTCTACGTCGAAAATTTTAAGCGGTGGATTGCGCTCGGGTATGTAGCTATAAAATTCAACGGTATTGAAGAACCATTGTATAGTGTACAAAGATGATCCCTCCAAGTCGTAATGACATGACAGCGTTACGGTATCGCCTGATCTGACCACAGCCGGCACATTTATCGTCAGATCTTTTAAACCTGTTGCACCTGCAAACAATAAAAGAAATATATCGTTGTGAGAGACGTTTAATCGAACCGAATAGCTTGTATCTCTGTACATAATGCGTTTTGTTTGAGTGTGAAAAATATTTATTAACATGATATGTGACAATTGCGATTAATTCGCGAGAGATATGCAAACAGAATAATTCGTTTTCGCGTATTATTCTCATAAAACTTTATATATTATGAATCGTCGCAATGCATTGTACGATGGTGTACGATATCTTTGAATGCGATTCGATGGATTAAGCACCGCGCCAGTCGGAAAGTGGAACGGTCATAAATAATTTAAGTAAATTTTTCAGTCTGCGAATTAAAACTTTGTGACGTGATTTAATGCTTTATCGATCACTGATTGTGCAAACTTGTTTTGCAATTGATCAGTTTTTCATAAGTGATGGGAAATATCAAGTTGAAAGTTTAAGGCATTCATTAAACTTTCGACATTTATTTAAAAAAAATATGTAATCCGAATTGTAATAATTAAAATGAGATTTATATGTAGCTGTTACTTTCTGAAATTTTAATCCAGGAAATTTACTTTTCATACAATCGATCAGTACATTATTTGTATAATTCGCATATTAGCATTTATTTTATTAATTACAAAAGTTACTTAATAATTATAAAAAAAGATTATAGCAATCTTATTAATAATCCATTAATACAATAATAATTTGATGTTATTAATCATATCTCTTATTAGAATTATGTATTTAAATGCACGAGAACAGAAACGTACAATTTGACAACAACGTGTAATAATAATTCTTCTAAAACGAATTCATTGCTAAGCTAAAAGATATCTCTATCCTGTTGTATTCTATCGTTCAATAAGATATCGATAGAACGAGAGATACATTTTCTTGGAAACAGATTTTCTCAAGATTAAGCCTATACGAATGGTATCTCCATTCGTTTCAGTCTCTAAAGGGAAGATATTTTGCTTTTTAAGCACGTTTCCCTTCCAGTGAAACAGCCCGGATAACAATTTTCAAGCTATAGCGTCATCGATTCACATAAAAAATAAGTTGACTGAGCATCTACAATTGCGAGCTGAATCTGTCGAGAGAATAGTCAAAGAATTTGTCTCAAAAAGACGGTTTCGTTATTATCTTTGCATTAAACTTTGAAGAAAACGGGGCAATTGTATGAAAAGTAAATCATCTATATAAAGACGAGCAATATACATGTGTATTAATTATAGATATAAAATATTAATTATTATAGATTTCGTATAAATTAACTGAAAATTTCATTAATGCAACCACCTCCTAGAATGTCAATCCATCATTATATATATTTATTATCGCAATTAGCATAATTGATTATATCCCTGTCAGCGTTTATTATAAAGCGTTTAACAGAGAATAATGCTGCAACATTATAATGCATAGAATTTTCAATGTAAACGCTATTAATTCGATTGTATTAACGTTAGTAATAGATGAGAGTCAAATAGCATACATTGTTTTCGTGTTTGTCGCGTTATTTCGAGAAAATGATCTATTATTGGATAATAAATGCTAATAAAGATTACGCGTCTGCGAATAATGAAAATAATGAAAACGTCAGAATTACGATCATAGTTTTGAGTTGATTTTTAACATACATATTTCTTACTCGTTCATTTACATGAAGCAACGGAAGTTCATAAATGTTCATAGCGATCGGAAAACGCTTTATTAGCACTTAGAGCTGCCACACAGCCGCGAATATTTTTCGATTTCAGTGGAATTGAAATACGATAGGCGCGACATGATTGTCTTTCAGTAGTAATTTCCACTCGAAAAGCCAGCGGTCATCAATAGCCTCGTTGTCGTCTTTCCATCGATTTCGAGACACTTCGGATCCTACTTTAGGAGAGCGATCAAAGGGAGAAGCCAGTCCCTATTTTCATGCAAAGGATAGTTACGATCCTTCTGTATATTCTTCTCTTTGTCTTCTACTCGATAAAGAAGGAAATACACGCGAGCTAAATTAATTCAACGTATGTGTGTGTTGAACTAAATGTTTCCGATAAACTTCATTGAGCGTCTCGTAAAGGGGCTGGCCCGTTTACAGTACAACTTATTTCGAGGTAAACTATTCGCGCCGTCGAGTTAGTTCTGGAAGTAGAGGGCCGCAATTCCGTAATTAGTATAATAAATAATCTAGCATGAGAATAACGTTTACATATATATATATATATATATATATATATATATATATATATATAATGTAGATGCCTCGCGCACGTAACATACCACTCCTTGAAATGGGATAAAAATGCATGAAACATGTGCTGCACAGAAAGCGCTTTCGCGAGACGCGAAGAAACACGATGTTTCCCCTGCGTAGCACCTACAAACTTAAATGGATTTATAATGTTACAGACGACCGTACAATATTGCAGCGATTAAACTACAATGCGTAGAGATGTTATAGTCAACTATCAGATTGTTTTGTTATATGGCTCAGCAACGATCTCGTGCAAAATTATTCGCTTGATTGAATTATACTGTCTCGAAATGTTCAGACGGGAACATGTGGAGAATCGATAAGCTAAGAAACAAAATCCTTACACAGTTAAAAAATAAAATGTTATAACATTTTTCACATGTCCCAAAAAGTCCACTCTAATCGATAAGCTAAGAAACAAAATCCTTACACAGTAAAAAATAAAATGTTATAACATTTTTCACATGTCCCAGAAAGTCCACTCTAAATTTTAAGTTAAAATAACTCCTTTGTAGTATATTACTTGTGACAAAATAAAAAATGTTAAATAATTGACACAATACTTTACATTTATTTGTGTTATTGTGACTTTAAGTGTAATGTAAAAATACAAATTAACATACAAATTAATTAAAAATTACATGAAAAAATAATTACAATAACTAATCGTAAGAATTGTTGTAGGACATTAACATATATAATTGTAATTATTTTAACTTAAATTATTTGTAATAGAAATTGATTTTAGTAAATTTAATTATTTTTGTATGTCAAAGTTCAAGATTATTTGAAGATTTAGTTTAACTTTTCATAAAATATTAAACTGACTTTGAGACATGTTGATTGTTTAAAATAATTATATTAAAAATACTCAAAATAATATTTCATTTCTAAGAAACATATACAAAATGTTAAGTTATGAAGTTGACATAAATGTAACACATGAAAACGTTACCAAAATAATAACATATAAGTTGTATGTAATTTTACATTTAAGTCCTAATCAAAACGTAGTAACACAAGAAAATTTTAACATATGGACATATAGACAATTTTTTACTGTGTATTTGCTCATTTTTGCTTCATTTTGGAGAAAGTCATAAAAAAGTTTTCATGAAAAAATAAAATTATTAGATTTATCGAGAATTGTTTCCAATCGAATAAAGAGAGCAACTGGAGAGATGGAATTGTGGTTGTAGTGCACCAAATATCATCAGAATAGTGTCTAGCTGCAATACGAGCTATCTGGTAGATGCTTACATTGCTGCGAGGGATTACCAATATTTTGAACAATACCTCCATTAGAGAAGTAATAACATGAATAAATAGCGTAAATAGATAAATAATAAATAAGTTGAAATATAAAATGACCTTATTTGTGGACTTTTTATTTTAGTTTACCGATGCTCCACACATTCCCGAAGTTTTGACATTTAAATTCGAAACGCTTTGCAGAATTTTCAATTGTTGCATTTTCTCGAAATATCTCTCTTATTGGTCACGTTTAATATTATCTTGGCCTTGTTTCACATAACGTTGGATAGTTGCTTGAGCAACTAACCCGACGCTTTTACTCCCATGCAGAATTACAGAGAAGAGCAAATGGAAATGCATCTTCGCGTAATAGCCGGGCATAACGTGCAAACAGCGGAACGTCACGATTAGACATTTCGCGCACGATGCCCGTGAGACATTTAGTTCGCTCGAGAAGATATTCGGCTGGCCGAGTGCTGTTTGTTTTCGCCATTAAGCCGGGGAATGGTGGGTTAACTGCTATCCAAGGGTCGCGGAGAAAGATCGGTGATTAAGCGCGATAAATAATTCCGAGGCACACACGGCCACATCTGGCGTAAGCTGAGCGTAGATAACACCGTTGTGAGCTCGATCTTGCGCTTTTTGAGAGCGCAACGGGGGTGTAATTTCGCAAAAGTGCGGTAGATAACATGCAAATGTTGCAACATCTCGTTACGCAGAATGCTCTCGATACTGTAGTAATTTATTGTCCGTAAAGACACGCGCGTATAAATACATGTAGAAGAGATGTCACGCCCAAATGTAACAAGATAAATAAAGATTGATTTATATAGATCGTTATATAGGTCATTTCGTAAAAATAAAACTTCTCCCTTTGTAGCTTTTAGCTGATAGTGATTTTTCAAGAAATTTTCGTTCCATTTGATATCGAGAAAAACTAAAATTTTCTCTGCAATTGTGAAATTTATCTTTTCGAGATGATTTTTTTATTTATATATATAAATTAATATATGAACCAAGATGTACAATTAAACTAAAGAAATTAATTTTTTATCTCACATCTTTTTTAGTTTCTTTTTTTAATCTTATTCAATAAAATTTATTTATTACAAATTGATTGATTGCATTTGATTATTTAAGTGTATTTGAAATTATTAAACACATAAACGCATACGCTTTTTATTTATAGCAAGTACTTTCTCTGAAATAATAAATACTAATATTTCTTTATATACCTTTGATAAAGAATTGATATTCATTGACGCGTTACAATATTTTTTATAATAATATCTCTTATTAATATCTCTTATTGTTTATAAATCTGAATTATTATACAATACATGTTAAATGTAATTATTGAATGCTATCTTTATCGAGCAATTTTTTGTTTTATAGCTATATACATATATGAGTCAAATATGAATAAATCATAATTGTAAAAGATATCAAATGCAAAATACTGTATACAGAATCGCGGGAATCGCGTTTTCATAAAATCGATTAACATCGTT